TAATTTTTGGCAAGGACCCTTTTTTAAGGACGCTCTATTCGAAAATGGTGCCAAATCCCATAATTTCTCAAATTTATTCTTTTGTGACGTCACACTTTACGACTCTATTGGCTCACAGATTTAATATTAAATCCATGAGCCCCGCTTACACTACATTGCTCATTTTCTAGCGCAGGATTTTAGTCATATCCTGCAGGTATGTATTTTTATTTTAAAATTGTCATAGCTTGAAGAGGCCACTATGTTCAGCAATGCCGAAAATCACTAAGGAGTCAAGTCCACAAGACATTCACTGAAGCTAAAAAAGCAAATGGAATGTGCAGATAGACAAGCAAGTGCCCAAGAAGAAGTCATCTCAGACAGTCACAACACAAGTACACCACCAGAGGAAGAATTCTGGATAGACGATCACTTCCAGCAAATGCTGAAAACCCTCGTTCGAAAATTTGTCAAGGCTGAAAATGAGCTGTATGCTTTAAAGGAGAGGATCAAAAGACTAAAGGACTCCAAAAGGGAAGGAAAGGTGCCAACTGGTCTGGTAGTCTATTGTGTTAATGCAAAAGGATGCAACAGTCAGCTTCTACAGGAACGTTTTGATGCGATTCTCAGGGATGCCGAGCTCAAACTCCTTGATCCACTATTGAGGCCCTTACCCAAGATGAACAACAGTACAAAGAGAGATGCACTAATGAAAAAAGAAAGTCGGAGCTACAATAGATGCCTGGAGGAGTTCATTTCAAGCCAGCAAAGCCTCTCTAGACGTAGACGCAGATCATTTTGTCAATTCGGCAAAATTCTTTGTGAATGACTTTTACTCCCAGGGTATGGCGATAAGGACCTCTAAGCAAGTAGCCGGGGACATCAAGAAAGCTGCAAAGGAGGCAAACAGAGTGCAGCGAATGGAGACTGAATTCCAACCAAATGAACAATTGATCAAAGATATGGCCACTCCAAGGTACAAAAGGAAGTCTCCAAACTCCAAACTGCTAAAAACAAACAGTTTTCATGCAAACTCGCCGACACTAGGGCTCCTCCCAGCAATTCCAGATCTACATCCAGAGGCAGGAATAAAGCCAAATCTGGTCATAGCCCACACAGGAAAGCGACTCAAAAGACACAAAGTCGTTCCAAAATGCGAAATTCACAAACATCTCGTAAACACCAGTGTGGTGTTACATTCTCTGGTAGTCGTTCTTCTTGCTGGCGTCGCCAACCATCAAAAATGCCAAAAGCCGTGCCGATGGTTCTATAAAATAGATCAGCGAGACCAGTATAACAAATGGCTTGACACATTGGCAAACACACTGATTCTGGACCCTCTGCTGCGAAATTTGGAATTTCATAATATCTCTCAGGTTATTCTCAACACGATGCTGTCACAAACTCTTAGCCTAGGTCTAAAATTGAGACCTACACTTAAACCTCATGCGGCTCATGTTTTTGAGAATCAGATACAGGATTTCTGCCGAAGTGTTCGGTTACATCGCAAGTATGCTGACAAGGCAGAGGACCCTGATTTCAGCCCAAAACTTTACGTGAAATTGAACCGGAATCCTCCACGGGAAGATCCAGACCTCGAGGAAAACCGTATAAGATACATCAGGAGCTACTGACGACCTTCAGCAATAATCGCTCACAATTGAAACGTAACTTATCCTATGAAGAACTATGTGGCCTTTGAGACTTTAAGGATGACCCATCAGTTTGTGTACTCACTACTGACAAGAACCTTGATCCTGCCCTCGTCTCCACGGAATGGGTGGAAAAAGAGACTCTAAAAAACCTTAATGACACTAGAAACTATACAAAGGTCACCAGTGCTCGAAATTGAGAAAATATCCAAGTTGTCCTCATTCCAAATGCAGGACAACCTAACCCCTGGCTCTGGTTGCCCTTAAAACATTGTCTAATTTGTTACTTAACTCATTGACTCCCAGAACTTTTTGCCAAGAACTCATTTTTTGGACATTGTGGAGATTTTCAGGCTGGGTTGTCCTGTGTTATTTTCCTCGGGCAACCAGGCCTTTAATTTTACAGAAAAATGGTTGTCCGGACCATTATTTAGTCGTCTCAGATGACCAGACGACCGCTAATTTCGAGCACTGGGTCACTGCATGGAGTGGTCGATAAGACGTCATAAGGTAATTGAGACTCAAGATAAGCTTGTAAATAGTTACTCGTGTTTTCTGCCTCCTAATTTGCTTAAGTTTCTTCGTAGCCTCGACAATAATCGTAGAAGTTTAGATCCCACCAAATTCTACATTATGCGTAAGATTCATAAGTCACCCACGGCTGGTAGGCCAATTGTGGCCTCACACAGTTACATCACGCGTTCTATTAGAATATTTGCAGATGAGCTAGTTAAGTCTTCTATTGCTGTGACTCTGGCAAGCTGGTCCAATGTTTGGAGACAGTTGAGCTACCTTACAGTAATTGCTTTCTCATCACGGCAGATGTGTTATCACCTTACCTGAACATTGACACTAGGAAGGCAATTATAGCACTTGACCTCTTACTCAGAGAGGCCAAGGTGGTCCAGATTCCACTCTTGGTTCAGTTCACCCAATTTATCTTGGGGAATAATTTTATCAAATCGGAATTTAGTATTTATATTTATTATATGGCTGTGTGTCACAAGGACTGGGAACTACGGAATTCGCGAATTTGATTGGCTGAAATCGATATTAAAAGCGGTCTAGATTTTCCCATCTAGACCGGTTACATTTTGCGGAGAAAACGTTTCAAACTAAAATACAAAACTTTTGACTATTTTCTTCCAACAATATTTATTTGTGGAGGTGTGAAAAAACCTGATGAGAAAAAAAGTAAAGAGGACAAGCAAAATTTGGCAGAATTATTTCAAGTTCAGCTCATCGCCGTTTGTAAGCAAACTGTCAGCTAGTACAAACCAGTTACATTAAACGAATTAATTTTTTTTGTTTGCCATATAATGAACATCTTATTAACCGAGCTTAGTTGGTCTGTATGGAAGAATCTTGACCTCAGTCGTGTGTACAGACCTCACTGTGTTCGGCCTGAACTCACGACCTCGGTCAAGATTCTCCCATACAGACCTCCTGCTTGGTTAATAAGAGCTAAATACCACCAAAATTTTGATATAGCTATGGGTACACCATTTGCCGTTACAGTGGCAAATACTTTCATGTATTATCATGAGTGAGACATTGTCAAGATGTTTTCTCGCTCTCTTCTTCTCTATAAGCATTTCATCGATGACATATTTGTCATCTGGGATGGCCCTCGTGAGATTTTTCTAGAATTTCTGCATGCTATAAGCACTAAAGATCAATGTACAGTGGAACCCCGCTCTACGGACACCCGCTTCATACGGACACCCCGATATTACGGACAGTTTCGTTTTCCCCGACGAAAAGCTCATATATTTTTCCTAAAATCAACCCGCTTATTACGGACACCCGTTAATACGGACAACGGACACTTTTCTGTGTCCCGAGCGACAAACTCTTATACATTGTCAACCCCGCTTTACGGACACTGTTTATATCTGTGCATTGTCTATTGTCACTGTCATGATTATGTGCTAATTAGAGATTTTGTACCCTGGTCAAATTCTGACAGATTTCGGCGGGTTAGTACAATTTTATTACGAAATGAAACAGTGGCAAAATAGCATGACGCATTTGACCAGTTCTTTCTTCCGGTGCATTACCCAGTCTACAGTCCTTATATAAAGTTTTCTGCCTGATACACTTACACAAAAGTTTCACTTTCTTGGTCTTTCGCTACAGTCCTTGCTTGTAGCCTTCTTCCTCTTTGACGTCTTATGCTTGCCACTATCAGCATCGGCCTCCGTTCGTATTGCTGGG